TATTAGATTCTGGCATTGGTATAAAATTTCTGCCTTGTGGTTTGGGTTATTTTTGCATATAGCTTAATATACATGTTTTCATAAGAAATTGTAATTGTTTTGGATGAAAGTTTTTTGGTAAATACCTTTACATTTATAAATATGAATGGTTAAATTTATTGATTATTTTAAATTAGGAGTAAATTGATAAAATGTATAAGTTTTGAATGCTAAAGCTATTATTGTATCATGCCACTTAACTATTATGTCTAATATTTAAAGGTCTAGTGACCTGTTTATAAAAATATTTTAATTGAATGAGTAAAGTATAATTTTTAGATAAAGAATATGACCTATTTATAATTTGACTAATAATTGAGTGAACTAAAATTTTAATGGCTAAAATGATTAAACTAATAAAGTTAAAGAAAAAGAAAAGAAACCTAACACCTTTAAGAAACAAAATAAGAATTAATGCATGGGGAAAATATGTGTATAGTCTGAACTCAATATCTTTATTAGTTCATTCATGCGATTGTTATCATTCATGTTTATTTCATGATCATAATATAATCATCTTTAAAATATTTATTTTAAAATTAGATATTTAATATATATTTTATTCGAATTTTACCATTTAAATATTTTTACCTTTTTTAATAGTCTGTGATGATTACAAGATAGATTTGTTCATAAGTTTTCTTAACTATTGACAACGCGTACACACCCTTCAAACGCAACTGCTCGAACTCAGAACTTCAAAGGAGAATAACATTTCCTTTAACTATCGAGGTCCCTCAACGGGTTCACCTCTTTTCTTTATTTCAAGTTTAAAACATTTTTCTAATATTGTATACATATATCTGTTCAGATAGACATCCTTTTTATTTGTTTTTTACAAGTAATTTGTATTATCATTCAAAGAAGCATGCTAATATGATACATTTTTAGGTCAAATTATGTTATTAGTGTTTTAATTATACATAAATTTTAGATTTGGTCTATGTATTTCAATTTTCAATTTTAATTTATGTACTTTTCAAGTTTTGAAATTTCATTCTTGACTCAAATAATGAATGTTAAATTCTAGGAACATAAACGATCAAATTGGATAACAGAGAATAAATCTACAATTTAAACATCGCGTAAAAACTAATAACAGAATTTAACCTAACAGATTTAACGGATGACGTCTAAGTCATGACTAAATTTTTAAAATTAAAAAAAATTATAAAAGTTTAAAATAATAAAATTAGAGAATATGATGATTAAATTCAAAACTTACTAATAATACAGGAACTGATTGCAAAACTTTACCCTTTTTTTATTATACCCTCACCCATAATGCCGACTAAATATAACTCGATTGGCTCCTTAATTAGCAATGTGAATAAAATAATTGAACACAATGGATATGATTTTACCGGAAAATCATGAGATACTTCACTTTCAGCAATTACGGTTGAATGATTTGTTATTGCAAGGCTGAGGTTTACGTGACGGCGAATTGGGCGGTGGAGTGCACGGGCCGGAACAAACTCGCCCGCATGTTGTGGTGCCGGAAAGAACTTGAAATCGAAATTCATTTTGAGCCAATCCAACGTTTTTGGACCCTAAACCTACCTTAGGAAGAAGGCTTTCCTCAATTGAGCTGACACAGTGTTCGGTTGAGCTCTTTGTCTTCTCTGATGAAGCGGCCGCCAGATAGTCGTTCGTTACCATGACCACCACCGTCGTTACGAGAATTGCTAAAAATAAACGTCTCCTTTGATTGTTATCTCCCATTGCTTAATTTCTCATGCTTTTCAACATTTGAGTAGTGAATTAGGAGGGTATCTATACATCGTGTGTGAAAGTGCGAGTGCTTTATTCATGATTTCCCATCTTTTGAATTATTGTGAGGTTTAATTATGCTTTCAATCCTTGTATTCTTTGCAAATTAATAAAATTGTTTAACATAAAGGACAAAAAAATTATTTTATCTTCTTTATAGTTATTAGGTCATCACTTAGCGGTAAAATTAAATTGGAGATAAAATCAAAAATCAATTTTTTTTAAAAATGAAAAATAATACATAGACTTTTTTTTGGAAGGGATGTACTTTACATGTTATTAAGAGGATAAAATATAAAAAAAAACGACACGAAACGTAGGTTTCGTTAAGAAATCTCTCCACACTTAACGGAGGAAAAAGAGTACACCATAAATGTGCAATAAAATATCGAAGCAGGTGGGTGGAGTTAATGTTATAAAATTAACATGTAAGAAAATAAATTTTAAATTATGAAATCGTACAAAGATGTTTAGCTTATTTAACCCATTGTAGGTGGAAGGAGTTATGGTCCTTAAATTGGATAGTTTAATGACATTTTAAGTCTATAATTATTTTCAAATCATTAATATTAAGTCCTGACCCCTTCCAAAAAAAGTTTCGGTTTAATTACTTTTTGGATCCTGACAATTTTAAAATTAATCAAAATAATTTTTGACTTCATATTTTTAGGTTTAATTATTTTTGAAGATCTTTTAATTTTTACATTAATAAGATTAAGATCTAACCCTGTTAATTTGTATGATTTAATTATACTTTAGGACACGATTCATTTTAAAATTGAACATTAATCCACCCACAATTCAATGCTGATTTCGTCCCTAAACAATGTTCTCACAATTTAATGATGTATTGGGATTAGACCAATACCATCAACAATAAGTGTCACCAACAACGCATAGACGCAGTTGTTCAACAGAAACTGATATGGAAGAGATATGTATTATTCTTCTTTTCTTTCTCGGTTTCTCTATCATTATAGTTTGGAAGAAAGTATTTCAACGTCGGTGAATACAAAAATTTGAGTTTGAGACTTTTAGGGTCAAGGGATTCATGCATAAATATACAAGAAAATTTCAGGATTTATGTATAAAACCAATATTAAAAAATTAACCATCGAGTGATTTAAAAATAAATTTTAAGAGTTTTTGTGATTTTTTTTTTAATTTCGTGAATCATCAAATCACTATTTAACCCTATTTTTTAATATCCTTTATTATATCCTTTTTCGCTACTTAAAAATCTTCTAAACAATCTTGAATGTCTTAGTTGTGACCATAACATTAGTATTTGGATTACACTTAAAAGGAGTACCTAACTGTAACTACTCCTGCAAGTGCAACATGAACAATAGCAATTAAACATCGCCGTTGAAGAGATGATTGGCCGGAAAATACTGCGTCACTTTTTGCAATCACGATTGCGTCCATCGCTGCAATTTGGAGGTACTCTCGGCTGATTGCGCGGTGGCGTGCATGGGGGTAAACCATTTCTCCCGCATGTTGTGACGGCTCGAACTTGAAATATATTCTGATCACCCAAAAAATTCGCTTCACTTGCTTCGTCGGGAAATAACTGGATTGTCTCCGACTCCACCAATCTGACGTCGTTTAACCCTACCTCGAGCTCCTCGGAAGCAGCCGCTGCAAAATAACGATTGGTGATCGCCACTGTTACCATGGTCATCAGAATTGCTAAAAGTATACCTCTCTTTTGATTGTAATAACATCCCATTTTTGTTGAGTGAGTTGTTTAGTAATGTGTTAAGAGGGTGCATATAAATATACACACGCATATATATATATATAAAGCCGCCTTTGAATATTCAGCATATGTGAAAGCGCATGTGGCTTTGTTCATTTTCCAGTATCGGCAACCTTATTCGTTATACATTATTCGGTTTTACTAATGGGTTGATAGCTATGAGAAAATAGGCAAATTTCTACTAATTAACTTCACCAACTTGGATTAAGATACGTTGAAATTTGTTGGTGAGAAAAGTGGGTGGTTGTGGTTGTCTTTTTTTATTTGGATGAAGAATAGTCGGTGGTTTAATAAACTAAAAGAGATGAGAGATACAGGGAAAGCTCCAAAGAGAGAAGCCGAGAGAAAGTTTCCTCTTCCATCAGCTTTACACGGTGATTTATATATTAACTTTAGTGTCATGTCTAAGCTGATAATAAATATTTGTATTTGTAGGTTAATAGGCTAAATAGATTTGACTGCGAGTAGATTACAAATCATGCAAGTCTGTCAGTGGTCAAGTCATAGATTGTAACTATCTCGTGAATATGGAGTTCTAGGGGCTTCGATGAATGCTGAAAGACATGTAACTCCGGAGGTTCAAAGGGACTCCGGAAGCCTCAATACTCGATAGGCGGATGAATTGCAGTGAAAAAAACCGATTTCTAAAACAGATCCAGAAGAGGTACAACAAAGTTGAAACTGTTGGTTTCCAGGGAGTTGCCGAATTCGCCTCGTGGAATTCAATGTATCGTGGCCTTTGCAAGTCAACCATTCCAATGTAAATGCATGCACTTTGAATATAACGCTACAAGAGTCATTCATGCACCATGGATGCCAACTTTACTTGACTTTGTAAAGTGTCTAGACAATGACCCGACAACGGAGGTTCAGAAGGACCAGTTCAGAATCCGTGAGACAATTGCCATCTCTAAACCCAGTCAGCTGAATTTGCCATGCAACAATGGTGACCCTTGAAAAAATTCGCTTCATTGGGAAATAACTGGACTGTTTCCAACCCCACCAATCCAACGCTGTTTAACCCTATGTTGACCTCATCGGAAGCAGCCGCTGCAAAATAATGATTGGTACTTGCCGCCGTCACCATGGTCATCAGAATTTCTATAAGTAAACCTCTCTTTTGATTGTAAAAATATCCCATTTCTATTCATTGAAGATCACATCATCCTTATTTCAAAAAAAAAAAAAAAAAGATCACATCATCCAACCAATCATGATAGTTTCATTCCAAGAAGAGTCCATTTCAGGCAGAGTAACAAAGTTTAAATATCTAAAAACAAAAATCAGATCACATTTGTATAAAGATACAATTTTTATTGCCTTTTCTGAAATATACAAATGGCTGCTTGCTTCAGTTTCTAACTTTTCAGATTGAAAAAAAAATATATTCAAAAGCATCAAAGAATCTTAGCCCCAGGTACAATGCGTTTCTTAAAATCAGTAACTAATCTTAAGTCATTAGATTGGTTTTCGTAGGATTGATGACCAAGTTTGCTGCACAATCGCAGGCCATCTGGACAACGAAAGAAAATAATAATCCAACACAGCTGTCTTCTGAAGTCTAACGGTGACATGAAGTTAACGGCGACCTAAATTTATGTTCTTCATGTGACACAAAGCAAAATTGATCGACTTTGTCGGTTAAGTTTAGTCATCTTTCACACATAACCGCTCTGAAATAGAATCAAAAGACATTTTCAAACTGAGTTCAGCTTATAACTACGAAGGAAACCAGAAGACACAGGTTAAAGACACAAGAAGTAAATGAGTCGAGAGGGTCCATACTCAGGTATTCATAAGCTAATATCATCGAGGTTCCCCAAGCTGAAGTACTGAAGAATCTTGGACCCAACCCTCTGTAAAAACCTTTCCAACCATCATCTGCAATTAAGTTCTTTATGACTTGTCTTGTAGAAGGTCGTTTCTCATGCCCCATCACCTGGAATACAGAAACGGCTAACTAATAAAACTAAACTAACGGGAAAATATGCAGTATATTGATCAAACAACCACTATGGAGATCTTGAAAAGGAAAAAGAAAATGCAGTAACCATTCTAGTTCTAATTTCAGATGTCTTTCAATCTTCAAATAATAAAATGGTTTACTTACTATAATTAGACACAATATTTATAATAGGAAATATCACATAAATTATCAAAAGAAGATGCGACTCCAGATTCAATAATGGAATGATCTAAATCACAATGCAAAGTTAAAAGAAAAATATGTCAACATAGAGAGGAAAAAAATATAATGAAGAATTAATGTCAACAAGGTCAGAAGAATTACCTGTAAGCGAGTCTTAATGGTATCCAATGGAGTTGTGATGCCGGAAGCTGTAGCACCTGCAATGATTCCTCCGGCAGCTTGCACTGACACTATTGTCCATGTGCTAGGAGTAACCTTCAGATCTGTGCCGTGATCTAGGAACCTACAAAAATGATAGTACATACTCAGTCACAACTAAAACAATAAGAATGCATCAAATGCCAGAAATTCTGTCACTGAAAATCATAATCGTGAAAAATCCATACCCTGTGGAAACCTACATTTCATCTAAGAATAACTGTGAATTAGGCCATAATTAGCCTTTTGATATAAAGTCAATTACTTGTTACACCATGTCCTATGGTTACCGGCTGTAAAAGCACATTCAACTCTTTTCCGTAAGGAAAACTTAACCCAGCCATAAACAAAAGAGAGAAGATAACAATGAAAGCAATCACAACTAACCTCCAGATAACACGTTGGCTTGAACCATAACTAGCCCACCATACAGCACTAGATGGAGAGTAAGTCATGACAGACAGACCAAATCCTCTGTATAATCCTCGGATTCCATCAGCCTTTATAACCTTACCAGCAACATCTAGACCCCCATTGTATTTTGCATGGCCGGAGTATCCTTGTACCATCAACTTTTGACTAATCTGTTCATAATTCATGATAAGGAAAATTTACCTTTTTCAGCTTCAGTTAAAAGGATAAAGAGCAATAAGAAGGACAGCATCTTTAATGGAGTGGAATTTATTCTGCATTAAAGCATTTTAAGAGTCCGGATAATGGACGACAGTCAGACACCTACCATGAGAATGCATATATATATATTTTTTACAGTGGAGGGAACAATTTCGTCAAACGGGGTGAAGGCTGTGTAGGAATTATAGAAATATATGATTATGTAAATATCCTTTAATTAAGGGATTCTGTAAATATTCTACAATCCCTTATTTTAAGGGATCATATCTCCTAGGATTAGTATCTTTCCTTTCTTAGAGTTTCCTACTTTAGAGAGATGATTTGCATAGAAATATATAATTTGTCCTATTCACAAGAATAAGAAATTACAGAGAATTACTCTGATTTCTACATGATATCAACTTAGGTTACGATTTCTTTCCAACCTAGACGATGTCCACTTCTACTCCGGAGATCACTTCGAATCCAGAAAATTTTTCTGGTTCTACTGCTCAATCAGAAGGTAATCTGGTCATGAAAAAACCAGAAGGTAAACCTCATGCTAAAGTTTTTTTTCTCCTCCCAGTCGACCCCTAATTGGATCCTCGATTCTGGTGCTACGGATCATATGACTGGTAATAAGGATTTGTTTTGCAATTTTTTTCCAAACTTTGGTAAAGCTGTCAAAACGGCTGATGGTTCTTTGTGTAAAATAAGACATGGCACTGTTATTCTCAATGACCAGATCGTACTTAAAAATGTCCTCTTCATACCAAATCTGGCTTGCAATCTCGTTTCCGTTAGTAAACTTTCCACCGACTTGCACTGCTCTGCAATTTTTAATGATATTGATTGTACTTTGCAAGCACTGAACTCGAAGAAGATGATTGGTAAGGCCAGCTTGCAGAATGGTCTCTACATTCTTCTTGCCTCTACTAAAACCGAAATCTCGAAATCTTTCACCGCCTTAGAAAAAGTTGATAATGTTATGTCATGGCACTATCGTTTAGGTCATCCTAGTTTTCACTATCTTGCAAAAGTTTTTCCTGCTCTATTCATTCATAAAAGGCCAAATTTTTTTTCTTGCAAAGTTTGCTCTCTTGCCAAACATACTAAATCAACTTATTCTCCTTCCAAATATAAGCCTTCTCACCCTTTTGCTTTGATCCACAGTGATATTTGAGGCCCTACTCGGGTGAAGAATGCTGATGATTGTAAGTGGTTTATCACTTTCATTGATGATCACAGTAGGATAACTTGGACTTATTTGCTAAAAGATAAATCTGAAACTGCTGGTGTTTTTACCCAATTTTATAACATTGTTCTCACTCAATTTGGGTCTAAAATTCAACTCTTTAAATCTGATAATGGCAGTGAATTTTTTGCTAAGTCTTTGGGTGCGTTTTTCAGGGAAAAGGGCATAGTTCAGATCAGTTCTTGTGTTGACACCCCCCAACAAAACGGTATTGCCGAAAGAAAAAATAGACACCTCCTTGAAGTTACTCGTTCTCTTCTATTTACCACTAATGTTCCAAAATATTTGTGGGGGGAAGCCTTATTAACTGCCACATATTTAATCAATCGAATGCCTAGTAAGATTTAACAATTTCAAACACCTCAATCTATATTTTTGCAATACTTTACCCATTTTAAACCTATCTCCTCCATTCTTCCACTTAAAATATTTAATTGTACTGTTTTTATCCAAAACATTGCTCCTAATAAGTCCAAGTTAGATCCTAAATCATTAAAGTGTGTATTGGTTGGGTATTCTTCACTTAAGAAGGGTTATAAATGCTATCATCCTCCTTCAAAACGATTTTTTACCACTATGGATATAACATTTTATGAGCAGGATCTCTATTTCACTCAGGCTGAATTTCAGGGGGGAGACATGGAAAGATTTTCAGCCACATCAGGTATCTCCTCCTATTCTTCATTCTCAACCTTCAGAATTGCCACCAATTTTGTCCTTACCTACAGATTTTTCACATGTAACTACTCCCATTGATCCACCGGTAGTACCTATCACTACTTCACCCATACCCACTTTAAATACCCTTCCTGAAAATACACCTACTCCCATTCAAAATATTCCACAAACAACACCAATCAAACAGCTCCGTTTCTATACAAGGAAAAGAAAACATATTCCTGAGGCTGTTTTGCAATCTGATGTTTGCCGAGAATTGGATTTAGGTCCAGCTGCTGAAATAGAAGAAATCAGTAAGTCCACTTCTCCTACTCTAGATGACTTCCCTATTGCTATTAGAAAAGGGGTTAGACAGTTCACCAAGCATCCTATTTAAAAATTTGTTGGTTATAATTCATTGATGCCGTCTTTTCAAGCATTTACAACAAACTTGGATAAAGAACAGGCTCCCACAAGCATAACTGAAGCTCTAAAGGATTCAAAATGGAGAAGGGCTGTTGAAGAGGAAATTTGTGCACTAGAGAAAAATGCTACTTGGACCGTTACGGACCTTCCTCAAGGAAAAAAGGCTGTTAGTTGTAAATGGATCTTTACTGTAAAGTATAACTCCAATGGTAGCATCCAATGATACAAAGCGAGACTAGTAGCCAGATGCTTTACACAAACATATAAGATAGATTTCACAGAAACTTTTGCACCTGTGGCGAAGCTGAATACTTTTCGAGTACTCCTAAGTTTGGTTGTAAATTGCGATTGGAAATTACACTAACTTGATGTAAAAAACGCTTTTCTTAATGGCAAGCTAGAAGAAGAAGTCTATATGAAGTTGCCACCTGACTTAAAGTCTGTTGAAGGAAGTAATAAGGTGTGCAAGCTCAATAAGTCTCTATACGGGTTAAAACAATCACCCAGAGCTTGGTTCGAGAGGTTCACTAAAGTCATCCTAAAAAACGGCTACAAGCAGTCCCTCGCTGATCATACTCTTTTCATCAAGGTAACTTCTACAAATAAGAAAGCTATCCTTATTGTGTACGTGGACGACATAATTCTTACCGGAGATGATGAAGAAGAGATTTGCAATTTGAAGAAGTTGTTAAATAAAGAATTCGAAACTAAGGACTTGGGAAAGCTAAGGTATTTCCTAGGAATGGAGGTGGCAAGGTCAAAAGAAGGACTTGTGATCAACTAAAGAAAATATGTACTTGATTTACTCAAAGAAACTGGTTTTCTTGGTTGTAAGCCGAATGATACACCAATGGAGGCAAGCTTGAAATTTAACAAAGAAGATGGGTCCTTAGTAGACAAAGAGAAATTTCAAAGATTAGTTGGGAAACTAATTTATTTATCCTTGACAAGGCCAGATATAGCATTTCCTGTAAATGTGATAAGTCAACACATGACTAATCCTACTGAAGAGTATATGGCAGCAGCAAATAGAATTCTCAAGTACTTGAAGAAAACTCCAAGACACGGTTTAATGCTTAAGAAGACACAAGACAGAACTGTTAAGATCTTTACAGATTCTAGTTGGGCCGGGGACCTTACTGAAAGGAGATCCACTAGTGGCTACTGCACCTTTGTTTGGGGAAATCTTACAACTTGGAGAAGTAAGAAACAATCTGTTGTTTCAAGAAGTAGTGCTGAAGCTAAATTCAGAGCACTAGCATTGGGAATATGCGAAGGAATTTGGCTACTTAAACTACTGAAAGAACTTGTCACTAATCAAGAGGATCACTTTGAAGTTTTGTGTGATAATCAATATGCTATTCAAATTGTCAAGAACCCAGTTCAACATGATCAGACAAAGCATGTTGAGATTGATAGACATTTTATTGCTGATCAAGTTAACAAAAAGGCAGCCACACTTTCATACATTCCTTCAGAAGAACAAGTTGCAGACATTCTTACTAAGGCTTTGCCAAAGCCTGTTTTCAATAAATTCCTATTCAAGCTGGGATTATACAATGTATATTCTCCAGCTTGAGGGGGAGTGTAGGAATTATAGAAATATATGATTCTGTAAATATCCTTTAATTAAGGGATTCTGTAAATATTCTACAATTTCTTATTTTAAGGGATCATATCTCCTAGGATTAGTATCTTTCATTTCTTAGAGTTTCCTACTTTAGAGAGATGATTTGTATATAAATATGTAATTTGTCCTATTGAAAAGAACAAGAAATTACAGAGAATTACTCTGATTTCTACAGGCTGCAACATAAAATTTTGCTTATAAAATAAGCTAAGATAAATTATCATGTAAGAAACTGAGTTACTGACCACATCGATTGGAACAAAAACACCTTGAGCAAAAAGAGATGCAGTCATTCCAGCAATTCCATTTGCTATAGCAGCTTGTGTGGGTTCAGAAAACTTAAATGGTTCAACCATACGGAAAGCAGCTACTTTCGTAGTTTCCAGAGCGGTTAGAAATATCACCCTGGCAGGAATCGCACCAGTGATGACCGTTCCAAACCCTCGATATAGACCAGGGACTCCATCTGTTTTCAGTAAGCCTCTGATAACTGAAAATGCATTTCTGTCTACAGTGTCCTTTGAAGCAACCTGAAGCCTAGTTTTTACAACAGATACTGGATACAATGCTACTGTAACTCCGGTAAAGATTCCAGCTCCTACAACGTAAAATTTAGTTTTGTCGAGTCTGCATCAACAGAAGAAACTAATAAGCATGAAAGAGTTACAAATAAAAGGATTTACAGCAGGAAAAAGAAACTATTTGCAAATCCAGATCACATTAGAATACCAATCAAGACAACTCAAAAGGGCATTAGGAAAGCAGGATCATCTTACAAGGATTGCCCTCGAGATTTTCACTAAGAAATCTATCCAGTTCAAAATTCTTAATCATTAATTGATTGAGGTTCCATCGGCTAATAATTCCATAAAAATTGATGAAATGAAGAGCAATTTATCGCACAAAACTCGCAGTTAAAGGGGAGAAAATCCAAGAAATGTTAAGAATAACACTAACACATGGTTGAAGAGGCAGCATTCATCCAAAATAACACATGGATACTCCGTTTCCACCCCTATTCATCTAAAATCTATCCTCATCACTGGTTTCTTTAACAGCAAAAATATCCATCCGAATTCTTCGAACTAAAACAAACCATAAAAAGACATCTTAGAGAAATGATTCAATCATTCGAACAGCTCAGTAAAATCAAATCTCGTGTCTAACCCTTAACCCATTGCACACAAAATTAAATAAACTAAAACCCACCTAATTGCATAAACCCAAGCTTAATAAAACCATTGGAATCAACCAAACAAAACCCAAAACTTGATTACAATATCAAAATTTCTATTAAAAGGAAGTAATTCTATTCATTCAAAGCATAAGAACAAACTAAAATCGGATCAAATGGAAGAAATAAAGTTTAAAATTAATTAAAGAGATTAACAAATGAAGATACGTACTTATCCCAGTTAATCTCCGTCTGACCAAACGTCTGCATTCGCGAACTCGAAGCATCCATTCTAAAATCAATTGAAAAGAAAAGAAAACTCCTTCAAATTAATCCACCTCTTTTCCTTGGAGAAAACAGCAAAACAGAAATCCTTTAAAATAATATTCTTTTTTAATTTCTGGGTTTATTTTTTTGCTATTCAAAGAGCCTGTATTCCCAGATTTCTTGACGGAAAATATCTCTTTAGAATGTAAAATCTGTAAAATCTAATTAAAAACTCTTTTCTCTCGGTAAAATTAGTGGAATAACCCACGCGGGTCGATTAATTAGTGTAATAGGATAATTTATTTTTTATTTTGGCATCTAGGCAAAAAGTTATAATATAATTGGAGTTCAGCGTGATGAATTTTGTTGGATATAATTTTTTAATAGTTTATGGGACGTGAGTCATAGGGGTCAAATATATTTAATATATTTCACGGGACTCATTATGGGGACTCGTCACGTGAACATGATGAGTTCGAATAAAAAATATTTTTTTAGAATTTTAAAAAACATTATAAAACACACACATATATATATATATATATATATTAATGGTGATGGAACTCGTCACACATGCATAACGAGTTTCAAAGGGTAAAATTTTTTAAAATTTTTAACCATTGGCCATTAGCTAATTTTTTTTAATTCAATGGAATTCCTCACGCCAGTGTGATGAGTTCCAACGACTATATTTGGGAGATGATTTTAGTATAAATAGGGGTTTAAGGTGAATGTTTTGATGTATAAGAAGTGAGAAAAATTTGAGATTATCAAAAAATTTGGATATGATTTGGCGAATGGTGTTTATGGATTTGATAACACCGACTCGAAGATCGACAATTTAGATTCAAGCTTTTTTTCATGTGAATAGTGGGAAAAAGAGACAATAAAGTACGTAGTTGAGGATAAGAAGAAGATGATGAAAATAGAAGAGAAGAAGAAAAAGAAGTATGCAGATTTACTGAAGCGACGTAGCAAACGACTCGTTAAGATATAAGAAAAAATTAAAAAATTTAGTATAAAAATTGAGAAGAAGAAGACGAAGAAAAAAAATACGAAAGTGTCTTAATCAGACGTAGTGAACAAATTGAAGAGAGATATAAAAAATAGAAAATGAAATATGTACAAATATTGTTTTGTATGGTTTTAATTTATGTATGAAGTTGTCTTTATTAATTAAGTAATTATTGGATTAAGTAAACTTATTTAGTAATAGTTTGCAATTATATAAAAATTGAAGTAAAAGTTTGAAGTAATGATGTTCAACTAAAAAAACTCATAAACATAGTGGGGAAGAGTACAAGTTTAAAAAAGAATATAGTCAGAGTACAAACTAAAAACATAGTGAAAAACATAGTTAAAAGAGTAAAAGTAAAAAAGATAACATAATATTTTTAAAATCTATTTTAGCGTCTAGTCTGATATTTAGAAAGATGAGGATAATGCTTTCTGTTATGCCCTTCACCTCTGCAGTGGCCACAAAGTTTTGGTAGACATGACTTTCTTTGAGGATCATCTATATCGATATAAATTCAGCTAAATTCAGGTCGACCTCTTAACTTCCTACGCAATTAAGGATTTGGCAATCATTCTTCAGAAATTGTTGATGTAGGCCAGTATGCTTCATTTGGGAGGAACTTAAAGTCACAACTGTAAATGTTATACATAGTGTGCAAGTTATAACAGTCATCAACATATAAGTATATGTCAACATTAATGTGCATACATGCAACAACAACGTGAGCGTATGAGAATCTAAAAGCTTGAAATCGACCACAATCATACCATCTTTTATTAAGATTACCAATGTACGTTGTTGAATTACCTCACTCATATGGTTGAACTAGTGATTGGACAACGAAATCAGAATCAAGTCTGGCAAAATTATGGACAAACATTGATGTCATATGTGTTTGATTATTTTGCATTGTCTTCTCCAAATTTGGAGCCCAATTTCTCTCATCGCTGATCATGGCGTCTATTTATGCACTTTTGTTTGCCCATACTTTTCCCAACCTAAAGTATGTTTCCCTAACAATACTTGCTATCAGGAGATGTCGAGTCCCTTTCAGCACTGAGTTGATACATTCAACAAGGTTAGTAGTCATATGGTCGTCATGTCGACCCTCAACATCATATGCTTGTGACCATCTCTCCCTAGGTATTTCAACAGCGAATTCATACACATCATCTCTGTATCTTCTCAAACCTAAAAAGCAGTAAAGTAAATGTTATTGAAAAATACAAAAAAAGAACATAAATGAAGCATAAATAATTAATGAGAAATGACATAATAGTTACCCATTTTGATAATCTCTTTTTTTATTATCTTTTTCTGCTTAAACATCTTCATAGCATTATACGCAATATGACGTATATAATATGTCGAATATGCGTGGGGAGGCGTCCATCTACTCTTCGGTCTATAAATTATACTTAACAACCAAGGTGATCGATCTGAGATCATGCAAACCCCATCTTGAGTGACAACATGGAAACGTAAGTTAGAGAGAAAGAAATTTCAAGTTTCCTCCGATTCATTTTTAACAATTGTGAAAGCAATGGGGAAAATATTTCTGTCTCTATCTTGTTCAACATCTATCATCAAGACGTGCCTGTAGAGCCCATACAAAAAAGTCCCATCGACTTGAATGATTTGTTTGCAAAATTGAAACCCTTCAATTGCTGACTTAAATGCTCAGAACAATGGCGGTAGACACCGTTGGATCTCAGAACGCACAATACAACAATCAATTAAACTATCAAAAGTATTATGTTAGTATAATTAAAGAATTGATATTACAAATTTCAATGTTAATGCAAAAAATATTAATATTTACTGCATATCTACCGGCGATATCGATCCTTATCCGGATATCTACTTTGGTTGCACCCGATAACTTTGTATCGGTTATTCGGTGTCTCCATCTAAACAAAAAATAACAACTACATTATTTATTGTCTTTTTCAAAATATTTAAATAAATATTATAAAATATCAAAACTTTAAATATAGGAATTTACCTTGCGGTGAGAGGAAACTCTATAGGAACAGATGTAATAAGCGTAAAAAACATGAGACAATACCACTCCCATGATTAGAGCAAAACTAAACAATCCGCTACATTCGCTTTTTTTACCTCTAACCACTATGGTCGTCTTGCAAAGTTCACGATACAAAAAAGCCAAAGTTGCAGAACCCCAACTATATTGGCGACATACAAGGAAATCGTTCAAAGCTAGAAGATATTGGATATGCACCAAATTACTCGATTTATCCAGTAGCAATATCCCTCCAATCAACGTCATAAGATATGCTCGGGCTGCATATTTTACCTATTGCTCCGTTGATTGTCCATTTACTCCTATGTCATATGTATCCACATCCCATCAATGACATCGGTTAGAGCCTTATTTCCCATTAAATCAGAAATAAATGTATCTCGTGCATAATTGTTGCGAAGCACCAATGACATACCATTAATCGAAACACCAAGTTGATATGTCACATCTTCCAATGTTATCATTACTTCAGCAAAAGGAAAATGCAATTTATGTGTTTTGGGCTTCCAACGCTCAATCAACGTCGATATCGGTGCCGACATCACCTTAAAACCATGAAGAAACGTCGCTGGATATAATTCAAATTGTTGAAGATATATCACAATCCGCAGATGTGACTCTTTATTCATCATTCCTTGATGAAAAATGTCTCGTTCTTCTTGCTACAATTTGAAAATAAATTGATTAATAAAATTATATAATTAACTATTATTAATACTATATTTTTTCCAAAGTAAAATAAAATAAAACAAATTAAATTTACTGCAGTCAACTCGGTCGACGAAATATAAAAATCATCAAAACGTAACATTTCTTCTCTTGAGGCAATTTCAACACAAAATCTTCAACAATTTTTTTTACTTTCAATAGAATGTTTGATTTCAAGTGAAAAATCAATCCAACCCAAACTTCTATTTATACTACTCTATCCAACGACTATAAACAACTGGTTTTTTCAAATTGAAAATAGCTGTTGAAACTCGTTACACCGGCGTGACGAGTTCCATTGAATTAAACAAAATTTGAACATTGGACAACAATCCAAAATTTTAAATTTTACCCTTTGAAACTCGTCACGCTGACTTAACGAGTTATATGTATATATTACAATGTTTTTTAAAAAAAATTCAGAAAAATATTTTTTATTCATACTCGTCATACCCACATGACGAGTCCAGTGAAATATATTAAATATATTCAGCCCCTGAGACCCACGTCCCAAGTCCCACTAAAAAATTATATTAAAATGATATTTGTCACACCAGTGTGACGAGTTCCAGCTACACTTTAGTTTTTACCATAGATCCCAAAATAAAAAAACAAGTTGCCCTATTGGGTTAATTTATCGGCTCGCCTGCATGATCCTACTAATTTATCCCTTTTCTTTATGACATTTGGTGATGGATTTTTGGGGGATTGTCTCAGGAAAGGTGGGCTAATATACGACTAATATACGACATTACCGGATACATTAAAAGATATTTAACAAATTCAGTTTAGAGCTACCAGAAATGTTGAGTAATAATAATGTAGGTCTAAATCATGAAGAAATATTAAAAAAATTGGCAACCGACAAACTTAGCTTGGCGGTTTATGTCGATACTTTATAAACTGTATCGATCCACATCAATATAACAGGTAAAAATATGACAAAACCGGTCTCGAAAAGACAAAATCGGTAAAGCGGTACCGAATATATTGAAAGTGTAGATACTTTAATATAAGTATCGACACTTTGTGAATTTAAAAGAGAAGCAGTTTCAGAGCCTATAAAGTGTCGATACTTTATAACAATGTATCGATCCACAACGATATAACAAGTAAAAATATGACAAAAACAGTATAGAACGACCATATATATTGAAAGTGTCGATACTTTAATATAAGTATCGACACTTTGTGAATTTAAAAGAGAAACAGTTTTAGCGCCTATAAAGTGTCGATACTTTATAACAATGTATTGATCCACAACGATATAACAGATAAAAATATGACAAAACCGGTCTCTAAAGGAAAAAACCGGTATAAGGTGACCAGATATATTGAAACTGTTGATACTTTAATATAAGTATCGACACATTGTGAATTTAAAAGAGAAGCAGTTTTAGCGCCCATAAAGTGTTGATACTTTATAACAATATAT